TAATATAATATAATATAGTAGCCCTATATAATCCTTATAGGGCTGTCAAATTAATTTTATATTTTGTACAGTCACTGCATTGTAGTTATCCCTTACTACTCTTAATCACTGTAAAACCTACACTTAGTATCTGTTGTTGGTGGATAGATATCTAAGTATAGGTTTCTAAGTTACGTTATGTTGTAAATCCCAGGCTATCACATGATTAAATACAATTACACGCTCTAGCAAGCGCTGTCGAGTTAAACGCCCTTAAACACTCAAACACGATTTGACTTTGAAGAAAATTGTACAAGCCACTACAAGCGTTAAAATACATAGTTCTTGTTTTACGTAAAGACACAGGGTCAGTGATAAAGCCGGGAGAGGTTGAGCGGCCCAGGGCGCATGACCAAAAGTAGGGCACACACCATACACCGATCAGATTACAGCGAAATACACTCTCTCATACGCCTATTTACGGATCATTCCAAACCGTCAGCCCGCTCTATCCCCACGTGAGTGTAAATGTATTATCCGTCCCACCTTTTAGTCCCACTATCACCAATAAAGTGACAGATGGAACCGTTATAAAATAAAATAAGTTCCAACCGTCCCCTCGTCGTAAAAGGTGGGACGGATGAAACGTTTTATTCTCGTCTGTCTACGTGGGGACAGAGCGGTGTGACGGAATAATCCATAAAAGTACTAAGAGCAAAAAATCCCACCAAATTATTTTTTTTCAACACAGAAAACAGATCGTTTGGTGAAAATGTAGGCCATAAGTTCAACATTACGACTGTTGCTTCAAGCGTTTCAACATATTGACGTAATTAACGCGATAGCGATAGATAGCGATTTAAATTAATAGTTAGGGCTTAAACTCAATAGATGGCGTTAAATTGTATTTTAATTATGTGATATTTGGCAAAGTTTTGTATAGTTTGGCATATTGTAAAAAAAAACTAAAGCCATTAAATAAATTTAAATACAGAGGGACATTTGTAAATTAATATGAATAATTTTACTAAAAGCTGGTGCCCAGCCATGCGTATTTCATTCTTGTATTCGCCGCAGCAAATAATAACTTATATAGCTACATTTTTTATGTTTATTATAATACCTTGTTCAAGTCACTGTTTTTATATTATAAAGCCCGCTACATACGTTGTTATGATAGTTTCACGCACACAGTTTGACTTAACAATGCCATTAATTTTTTTTTTTTTCAATTAATTTTAAAACAATTTAAACTAACTTACTGATATTAAAGTTTAGATGAATGGATGTCTTCTTAAGTTTGTATCCTAAACGGCTGAACGAATCTTGACGAAATTAGATGTAGAGGATAGTATAAAAATACACATATGCTACTCACTTTCGTTTTGTTTATTCCTCGCGGACGGAGTCGCAGGCGATAGCTAGTACGCTAATAAACCTGCAATCTTTTAACCAAATGAAATACCTCTTCTCTATCTCTGTAGTCTTGGTACTTCTGAGAATATTTCCAATCTGTTAAAACTCTGTAGTCCTGGTACATATTAAATGGGTCGATTCAACAGCTGGTATTGCACAGTTCAAATGTAGTTCATTCAAACAATGCAAGCATTATGTGGTAGCAATAACAGTGCATTGTTATAAACACGGCTGGATCGATGCCAGAGTATCGTTCGCCAGACCGCCAGCGCCACACCGAGGCGACATTAATTACATAATAATTTGTTTAGTAGACACAAAAGTAAACCAATAAGTACAGTGGGAAATCGACATTGAAACATCATCAAATTGCCGTTATCCCTTATGGAGGGTTGGCACAGTATGTGCTGCTCCATACATCTCTATCAGCTATCATATCTGAAACCACTCCTTAAGCATATCCTCTTTCACAGAATCCATCCACTTTCTTTGGTCTACCTCTTTCTTTGTAGCCATCCAAATTGAAACGACACGAAACAATAAGCAATAAGGAGTTATTTGTACGAGAAGAGATTTTA